CAATAGATTGAGTTTGTCTGAATGCTGAGCTGTATATGCAATTGTGTGTATATGCAACCGCCGATTTGGATGTGTTCGTATGCAATATTGTAGATTAGATAGTGTATTTTTTGAGAATCAGTAGATTGGAGTTTGTCTGAATGCTGAGCTGTATATGCAATTGTGTGTATATGCAACCGCCGATTTGGATGTGTTCGTATGCAATATTGTAGATTAGATAGTGTATTTTTGAGAATCAGTAGATTGAGTTTGTCTGAATGCTGAGCTGTATATGCAATTGTGTGTATATGCAACCGCCGATTTGGATGTGTTCGTATGCAATATTGTAGATTAGATAGTGTATTTTTGAGAATCAGTAGATTGAGTTTGTCTGAATGCTGAGCTGTATATGCAATTGTGTGTATATGCAACCGCCGATTTGGATGTGTTCGTATGCAATATTGTAGATTAGATAGTGTATTTTGAGAATCAGTAGATTGGAGTTTGTCTGAATGCTGAGCTGTATATGCAATTGTGTGTATATGCAACCGCCGATTTGGATGTGTTCGTATGCAATATTGTAGATTAGATAGTGTATTTTTTTGAGAATCAGTAGATTGAGTTTGTCTGAATGCTGAGCTGTATATGCAATTGTGTGTATATGCAACCGCCGATTTGATGTGTTCAATGCAATATTGTAGATTAGATAGTGTATTTTTGAGAATCAGTAGATTGGAGTTTGTCTGAATGCTGAGCTGTATATGCAATTGTGTGTATATGCAACCGCCGATTTGGATGTGTTCGTGTGTTTAGATAGTGTATTTTTGAGAATCAGTAGATTGAGTTTGTCTGAATGCTGAGCTGTATAATTTTTGGATGTGTTCGTATGCAATATTGTAGATTAGATAGTGTATTTTGAGAATCAGTAGATTGGAGTTTGTCTGAATGCTATGTATATGCAATTGTGTGTATATGCAACCGCCGATTTGGATGTGTTCGATGCAATATTGTAGATTAGATTTTTTTTGAGAATCAGTAGATTGAGTTTGTCTGAATGCTGAGCTGTATATGCAATTGTGTGTATATGCAACCGCCGATTTGGATGTGTTCGTATGCAATATTGTAGATTAGATAGTGTATTTTTTGAGAATCAGTAGATTGAGTTTGTCTGAATGCTGAGCTGTATATGCAATTGTGTGTATATGCAACCGCCGATTTGATGTGTTCATGCAATATTGTAGATTATAGTATTTTTTTGATCAGTGTTGGAGTTTGTCTGAATGCTGAGCTGTATATGCAACCAATATTGTAGATTAGATAGTGTATTTTTGAGAATCAGTGAAATGCTGAGCTGTATATGCAATTGTGTGTATATGCAACCGCCGATTTGGATGTGTTCGTATGCAATATTGTAGATTAGATAGTGTATTTTTGAGAATCAGTAGATTGGAGTTTGTCTGAATGCTGAGCTGTATATACAATTGTGTGTATATGCAACCGCCGATTTGGATGTGTTCGTATGCAATATTGTAGATTAGATAGTGTATTTTGAGAATCAGTAGATTGGAGTTTGTCTGAATGCTGAGCTGTATATTGCAATTGTGTGTATATGCAACCGCCGATTTGGATGTGTTCGTATGCAATATTGTAGATTAGATAGTGTATTTTTGAGAATCAGTAGATTGAGTTTGTCTGAATGCTGAGCTGTATATGCAATTGTGTGTATATGCAACCGCCGATTTGGATGTGTTCGTATGCAATATTGTAGATTAGATAGTGTATTTTTGAGAATCAGTAGATTGGAGTTTGTCTGAATGTAGAGCTGTATATGCAATTGTGTGTATATGCAACCGCCGATTTGGATGTGTTCGTATGCAATATTGTAGATTAGATAGTGTATTTTTGAGAATCAGTAGATTGGAGTTTGTCTGAATGCTGAGCTGTATATGCAATTGTGTGTATATGCAACCGCCGATTTGGATGTGTTCGTATGCAATATTGTAGATTAGATAGTGTATTTTTGAGAATCAGTAGATTGGAGTTTGTCTGAATGCTTTTGAGCTGTATAATGCAATTGTGTGTATATGCAACCGCCGATTTGGATGTGTTCGTATGCAATATTGTAGATTAGATAGTGTATTTTGAGAATCAGTAGATTGAGTTTGTCTGAATGCTGAGCTGTATATGCAATTGTGTATATGCAACCGCCGATTTGGATGTGTTCGTATGCAATATTGTAGATTAGATAGTGTATTTTTGAGAATCAATAGATTGGAGTTTGTCTGAATGCTGAGCTGTATATGCAATTGTGTGTATATGCAACCGCCGATTTGGATGTGTTCGTATGCAATATTGTAGATTAGATAGTGTATTTTTGAGAATCAGTAGATTGGAGTTTGTCTGAATGCTGAGCTGTATATGCAATTGTGTGTATATGCAACCGCCGATTTGGATGTGTTCGTATGCAATATTGTAGATTAGATAGTGTATTTTTGAGAATCAGTAGATTGAAATTTGTATATGTATCTGTAGATTTGCCTGGGTCAGTAAATAAATTAGTTTGTTGGGGTGCCGTAGAGTGGATTCTGTCTGTATACAGATCAGTAGATTGGAGTTTGTATGTATGTATAAATCTATATATTTATCTGGGTATTATCTGGATTGTGTCTGTAAGTGTATCTGATGATTGGAATGTGGCAATATGCGGATCTGTTTGTGGGAGTGTGTCTTAATGAAGATCTGTAGTTGAAACATGTCTAAATGCAGTTTCGTATATTGGTGTGTATCTGCATTCGGTTCTGTAAATTGGAATGTATCTCTATACTGAGCCTTAGTTGGTTGTTTCTGAAAACAATCCATATACTGAAGTGTGTTTCTAGTTGGATCTGTAAGTGAGAGTGTGTTTGTGAATGGGATAATATATACATTCTTTATGTGAATATTTTTGTGTTTTTCTTGGCGTTAATGTGTGTGTGTATGCATGCGTGCATGCGTGTGTTTGCAAGCCGATGTGTGGCTTTGTTTTATAGTCCTATATTTGGCTACACGTTGCCGGTTCGAAGTAGGAATAAAAGTATTAAATTGTCCAAAGAGTAAGAAAGAAATAACAGAGAAAGAAGAGAGAAATATATAAATAAAATGAAGACAAGCATGGAGAATTTGAAAGAGAAACCTGAGAGAATGTGAAATATAAGGAAGTAAAGAGCAGATTAAACAATAAAAGGAAAAGAGAAAGAGACACGAGGAGAGAAAATGAAGAATGAAGAACGTATTAGTAAAATAGAGAGAATAAAGAAAAAATAAGGGAGATGGATAAATATAGTGTAAAAGAGAAGTGGTAATATGGAAAGTTCTTCAGTTATTTAAACCCCAGCTTTCGTGTTATCAAAAGGCTGCTTCGTTCAATACATTAAATAAAAAAGAACTAACAGTGCGAAATATTACAATTAAATGTATGTATAATCCTCCCGTTAGGTTGCATGAAACCAAAAAGAAAATTTCCAAGTGTCTTGGGAAGATATGAAGATTTATTGATAATAGAGAGAAAGGCACTGTTTCTCGGCCATTGTGCACATGTATAGCCGCCATCATTGTCTACAAGGTGAATGCCTTTGCGGGAGTCGTAGCAAAAAGAACTGGTTAATATACGTTTGTGAACAGATCCTTTCTGTAAGCAAATCAAGCACCATATCTGAAGATTGGTGTACAGGAACCTGTGCATACAGTCATACTTCCGAAGTAATGGCTTTCGTGTAATGGCTGTGTAAGAGGAGGATATTTTGCGGATGGAGATGAGAAATGAGAAAGAGTGTGGGAGAAAGGAAAGAGAAGAGAGAGGGGGAAAGAAAAAGAGAAAGAAGGAAAGAGACTGAGGAGTAGAGAGAGAGGAGAAAAGAAGACAGAGGGAAGAGAGGAGAAAAGAAGACAGAGGGAAGAGAGGAGAAAATAGATAATAGAAAGAGAGAGAGGAAAAAGAAAAAGAAGACAGAGGAGAGTGAAAGGAGAAAGAGCGGTGATAGAAAGGAGAGGGGGTGATAGAGAAAATGGCAAAAAGAGAGAGAAAAGAGACAAAACACACATACTTGCAAGAAAATGACATTCATGTGCATTTATAAATGTGCTTTTGAAAAATTGATTTTAGAATGTTACTTTTTCCATCCAAATGACCCCTTAAATTTGACCTGTTTTTGTAGAAAACAGAATGTCGTGGCAAATGTCAATTCCCAAATTATAGTGACCAGTTAGGCTACCGACATTTTCGATTAAAAAATACATTTCAGTCCACCCTGAATTTGAAATCTGATCACTGCCGATGGTAACCATGATGCCTTGAAAGCAAATCATATGCATACAATTAATATAGCACAAAAGGATTTCATCGAGAATTCAATGATATCAAATATTTTTGAAACTAAATATCTATTCGTTGCACTGCAGCAAGCCCTCAAGATGGATAAACACTAAGTTTAGTCTGGTAGAAGGATATAAAAGACGCACAGTGAAGTCCAAATTACTTCAGTAATCAATAGTCTGCAAAATTAACTTACTAATCATCAATCTACGGCTATGTGGATATATAATCAGCTTTGCTTAGTCTACAAAACGGCCGTAATAGTAGTGCCTAATGAAAATTGAAATCACTAAACTAACTGCATGATCAATTTCCTAAATCTCGCTCCACGGTAGGTACTCAAGGGAGATACATTTACATATGTGACTGTATTATATATATATATATATGTATATATATATATATGTGTGTGTGTGTGTGTGTGTGTGTGTGTGTGTGTGTGTGTGTGTGTTTGTTTGTATGTGTGCGCATTTGTGCGTGTGTGCGCATTTGTGCGTGCGTGCGTGTGTATTGCAGATTATAAGTATAGGTTTTGTCGTCAATGTTTGGAAATATCTGTGCATCTGTAGCGTGTGTATCCGTTCTTGTCTTAATGTTTAAACGCATACGTTCGTGGTTGCTAAGCATACTTTAGCGGGTGTGAGAACGTCATTATAAACTGCTTGGCATTATGGCCAGATTCGTCGAGGTGAAGGCAGACACCCGTGAAATGGGACAGATTACAAGCGCCAGTCGCCTGCGCTCGCCCGAAACCCTTCAACAACTGTATTAAGGAACATTACAATTAATTTGTTCGCCTTTTGTGAAGCTGTCAAACATTGAACTTTCTTTCTTTCTTTCTTTCTTTCTTTCTTTCTTTTTCTGTTCCTTAGTATGTTATTTCTGCTCCAGTACATTCCTGAATGATTATTTAAAATTTCAACACACACACACACACTATATATATATATATATATATATATATATATATATATATATATATATATATATATATATATATATATATATGAATGAATGCATCTCATACACTTAAAGCTCCCACAAAAGCCTCCCGATTTACAGGACAGAATATATTCTTTCATCCTGTCAGTTCTCCAACCAATGACATCTCTACATCTTCCTTCCGCATCTTTTGCGAGTTTTTCTTCGATAACATTTCCTTTACAATTGTCCAACATTTTGATTTCTTCAATCACTCACTTTGCTTCATCTTTCTCTCTTTTTCGTTTTTCTTTGCCTTCATATTTTCGTTTTTCTTCTTCTTTAACGATCGTTCAATCTCCAAAAGACCATCATTCAAATCAGCCAATCATCTTTCTTCTCTCCATTCACTTTTTTTGCTCGCTAATCCATAAAGCTCCTTCCTGATTGACGATCACTTTTTCCCGACCATTCGGCCCCGGCGCCATCATTACACACACACACACACACACACACACACACACACACACACACACACACACACACACACACACACACACACACAACGATTTTTGCCGCCTATTTATCTCCACGTTTACTTTCTCTTTCGCATCAGTTTTCATTCACCTTCTTCTTGACTTCTTTATTTCTGTTATTCAACCAATCGCACGCAGTTTTTCACAATCGCTTGGCGCAATCAGTCTATCTTTGTTCTCCCTCTTTCCGATACACTTCTATCTTCGATTTATTGCTCGTCACTAAACCGACCGCTTCACGCTCTTCCCCTGTCTTCTCGCCGACCTCGCGTCAATTCTGGGAGTCCAATTCAAAACACGCTCATTCTCACAATCGCAAGATACGAATTATCTTCTCTTCTATTTATCCGTTACCTTCGACCCGATTCTTCGCGGTATCACATCTTCTCTTGTCATTCCCTTTTCTACCCCGTTATGTGCACCCTATCAGGCTAAAGGTCGCTGCTTGCTGTCTATATAACATCGGATATGTACGGGTCTTGTCGGTCAGATTCAGTCAAATCACTCAAGCAAGAATCACTCACGATCGCCTGTCTGTTTAGAACCATCTTCCTTTTTCAGTTCTATCCCTACCCTCCCTCTAGACCACACGCCTCATCAGCATCGGCGTGGTGTGGAAAAACTCTGTAGAAAGCTATCATTTCAAATCGATAAGTTTTTAGCAAAGAGAAAGGTACAAAAAGAAAAGATGAAAAGATGCATTTTATTTAGTAAGATGGTTATTTAGATGAATGTAATCAGAAGTAAATGATAGGGAGAGATTAGAATAGATCGATCGATCGATCGATAGATCGATCGATCGATGTGGAGATAAGTATGAGGAAAAAGACAGATGAATGAAAAAAGGCAATCACAAATTCATGGTGAGAGAGAGAGATATAAAGAAGTATGTGATCAGATAAAGAGGAGATTGAGAGAGAGAGAGAGAAAGAGAGAAAGAGAGAGAGAGAGAAAGAGAGAGAAAGAAAGAGAAAGAGAGAGAGAGAAAGAGAGAGAAAGAGAGATGGGTATTTGAGAGGAAACTGGACATGAAACAAGAAGAAGAAAAAGAAGAAGAAGAAAAAGAAGAAGAAGAAAAAGAAGAAGAAGAAAAAGAAGAAGAAGAAAGTTCTTGAAAACAGAAGACAAAGAACAAAATTGTGTAAATGGTAATTTTGAAATTTGTGTTTAAAAAGAAAAGTGAAATGAAAGAAAAGGAAATAAAATAGTTTAAACATATGAAAATAAAGAAAGGCAGGAATGTATATGTAAATATACACACACACACACACACACACACACATATATATATATATATATATATATATATATATATATATATATACGCATTACCTTCTTTTAATGTAAAAAATACATATAAAACATACATGTACGCATCCATACATATAAACACACATACATATGTATTCATCATTTATGCAAGCGTGCATAAATGTACACAAAGTGTGTGTGTGTATATATATATATATATATATATATATATATATATATATATATATATATATATATAAAAGAGGGAGAAGGTGAAGTGGTGGAGAAGGTGAGTATATACTATATATATATATATATATATATATATATATATATATACTATATATATATATATATATATATATATATATATATATATATATGAAGCACACAGGCGCACATACAAATCAGATATAAATGCAGATACACATCCACCTCCTATATATATATATATATATAAAGAACAAGAGAAAAAAGAGATAGACATACGTAAGGGAAGAAAAAAAAAAGAGAAGTAAGCGTAATCGTTCGAATGAAATTAATTCCAGAGAAATGTGTTGCTAAGTTCCATTTTTACGTAATGTTCTTTTGAAGCGAACACAAACCAAACCCTGTCCCTTAACTTTCCTGCAGTGAAAACGGGTCGATGCCGGTGATGGTGACCCTATCGCGCCGTCGGATGCGGCCAATGGAGCGTTTGATGTCTCCCAAACGAAGAGAATGTAGTGGGGCGGGACCCGAGGAAGTTTGACAGTGAAATATACATCCAACAACTCGTTTTTGAACGCCTCTTTCAGATCGACGTTCGACCGTTTCATGGACGCCATTGTCAGAATGATGGATTTTAATTAGTCTAATTCACTGCCTTTCTTAAATAGACATTCATCTTCACGGTTGCCTGATTCGTTCACCACTACTTTGGCCGCACAATCTTTTTCAAACGTTCCAATGCCGCTAAGCGGTGGTTCTCCTCTTCTTTGCACTTTGGCTTGCCTCTTTTGCTTTGCGCATGCGCCAGCAGAGTGATAAGAGCTACACCGCACATTTCTTCAATTACATCCATCCATCCAATCATCCATCCATAAATACATAAACATATATATATATATATATATATATATATATATATGTAAACAGATATATATACATTTATATGTACATACACACACAAACGTATATATATATATATATATATATATATATATATATATATATATTAAGCGGGAAATAGAGGAGTATATATATATATATATATATATATATATATATAGAGAGAGAGAGAGAGTTAAATATAAAGAGCCAGATAGGTAAAGATATGTAGGCATAAGAGGAATGATTCTAAGATTGTTTCCGTGTGTTTTTGAAAAAGGAAAACATTGTATTGCAAGTGAACGCGATATTGGAGAGACTATCTCTTGGAACTTAAATCTATCTATACATGTATCTTTCTATCTTATTCTTTTCATATATATATCTTTGTGGGTTTATGTTTGCATATATATATATATATATATATATATATATATATATGCGTGTGTGTGAATTGGGATCAAATATAGATCAGACATTGATTAGAATATGACAGAATGATAGGGAAAAAAATAGGTAACGTTTATAAATTGAACATGTTTCGCTTTTATTTAAGGTACACAAGAAAATAAATATGAAGAGACATGAAATAGTACATTTTCTGATGAAGTTTAAATAGAACATGTTTTTATTATTATATTGTATTATATTTAAGCTCTGTCGGGTTTGGCATTGAGCCTATTTTAGCTTTTAGCTTATTTTAATTTTATCTTTTATTACTACTACTGTTACTACGCACACGCGCTTATATATATATATATATATATATATATATATATATATATATATATATATATATATCTATCATTAAATAATACTCAGATAATATGTAGCAATCACTGCAAAAAAGCCTTAAAAATTGTAGCTATTATTATTCAAAAGAAACAACCCCATTAAATAAAAAACAAATACATATATTTTCGTTGTCCTCTTATCTTATTATTATTCCATACCTGAGGATGTCTGTAGGAACAGACGAAAGCTTGTAAAAATAATAAGAACTTATGCAAAAGAAATTTATAAAAAAATTGTTCGCGATGATGGATTTCTCGCCAATTAAATCATTAACCTTTGTATTTGTTTTTTGTAATTCATGAATAATATATATATATATATATATATATATATATATATATATATATTAATAAATATACATATTATTTTCACCGATATACACACACACACACACATATATATATATTAATTATTTTTCTCATCAAGCAACCCCGATAAAGTCACGGTTTCGTTTTGAAGTAATAATTATCAAGCCATCTTTTTTCCCAGTTAATGTATTTTCGAGTTCAGCCACGAATTGGTCTTAACCGAACCTTGAGTTAAGTAAATAGTTGTGTCATCAGTATAGATAACGAGTCAAGAACTGATGACATCGGGAAGATCGTTGGTGACCGTTCAAGAAAACTTTCATTACGCGATTTGATAAGATATATTGAATCAAGTCAAAATTTCCGTCAGAAACTCCTTAACCCATCAAACAAGACCAAAATGCCAAACTGTATCAAAGGCCTTCGAGATACTCGAGGTTCACCATTCTTATCTAAAGTTTGATAGAACTCTTTCTACAATAACCGTTAACACATCGGCATTTGACGTAGAGTTCAAAATAAATCAATAACAACAGACACTACAGCGTGATCGGAATTTCGAAGAGGACAGAATTACAATGCTCGACAGGAGCTTTGAGATGAGGTAAACAAAACATTGAGTTAAGCAGAGTATGTTGATCAAAATTATTAGGGAAACGACTGAAAGACTAAACAGCGGATAAATTGAAAGTTTAAATACTAGTAATATCAATAGTATTAAAATGATTAAGTCATTTGACCTGAAGATCATTAAAATCACTAAACAAACTGATGTTCGAAGATGAATGTACTGAGAAAAATCTTTCTTTTATACTATTTTCATTGAATGCGTCAGACAAGGAGTTTTATTAATGTTTTTATAGTTTTCCTGTTTTGCGGGAGGAGGGTATGTAATAAGATCTCATGTCTACTAAATTATCATTGCCAGTGCCTGCAAAGATATAAGATACCAGTGATAAACTTCTTAAATAGAGCAAACCTAACCTCCTCTTTCCAGAAAATATTGTTAGTGAATTCAAACATATAAAACAAATTAATAATACACCTATTAAATCTAAACTTAAAACGAATAATGTAGTATATACATTTCGCCGTCATAAATCAATTATCTACATTGGTCATACATTGACAACTATCAGTAGAAGGTTGATCAACCCTTTATACGATCTCAGTATCATAGAAAACACCAACAAATAACTGCCTGCCTCCATTAGACACATTCTAGTTGATAGCATCATCATACTAAATAAATCTAATTGTCGACGTTTAAGATTATGAAAGTACTTTATATAAAACACTTCAAGCCAAACCTTACCTTATTTGGTTTATTTATTATCAATGGTAGTAACGTTCCCTCAACATAAAAGACAACCCAACATGGAATCACCGCCACATTTCACTCATACATCTTAGAATTTCTACTACTTCCATACAATACAATTTGGAACACAAACACTGAAGACGTATTGAAAGTGGCTAATGAATTGGATGAAAGTGCATTGGGCAATACTTAATATTATGGACAGTTTCTAGATTCTCTCGACCACACTCCCAAAAGAAAAAAAACTTCAAGACAATTATAGAAATTTCTGTAATATTTTCCTTGTTTGTTACATTCAATGATATATATATATATATATATATATATATATATATATATATATATATATATATATATACCAGAGATTTATTCATATGCGATCAAATTATATAAAAGATATCTAGTACATCGTACACTCGATAGTACCAACGTTGTAGTATTGTTGGTTTTAGAATAATTTATGACACACTGACAATCATTTTCGTTTCAGATTTTCAATGCGTAACATTGAAACCAAAATTTGTTGAAATAAATTGTAGGTAAAAATTGTTTGCTTAATAAAATTGTTTGCTTAACAGTGATAAAAAAGTGTTTCAAATTTACTGGATTTTAATGCATTTGGTTCTAAAATATAACTGATATTAATATTTCGTCTGCCTACAAAAGAAATTAAATAAATAGAATTAAACGAAATAAAAATGTGCAGGTCGTGTAACGGAACAGAAAGTCTAATTGGTGAGCCGATTTCGAATTCTGGGCTAATTAGTTGCTTACACTT